CTCTCAAGTCAGTCCGTCAGTAAAGAAAAGTTAATCAAACTATGTGAACTCTCTTAAAATACCACATTTTTGACAGACTCAATCGCAAAGTGGTCTCAGGTGTTCCAGAAAATGTAAGTATTCCTTAAAACGTNTAGGTCGAGTTTTAAACATACCTCAGTAGGTTAAAACTCAAATCCGTCAGTAAACACGTCAAAGAAATGGTCTTCGTCACACGTCAGTACACACGTCAGACTGCGTCAAAGAGATGAAAACACGTCAGACGCGTCTAAGAACTTTTATTCCTCACAAGTCAGTCCATCAGTAAAGAAAAGTTAATCAAAGTATGAGAACTTTCTTAAAATACAACATTTTGACAGACTCAATCGCAAAGTGGTCTCAGGTGTTCCAAAAAGTGTAAGCATGCCTAAAAACGTGTAGGTCGAGTTTTAAACACACCTCATTACGTGAAAACTTCAATCCGTCAGTAAACACGTCAAAGAACTGGTCTTCGTCACAATTCAATACGTCAGTACACACGTCAGACGCGTCAACGAAATAAAAACACGTCAGACGCGTCAACGAAATAAAAACATGCCAAACGCGTCAAAGAACTGTTATCCCTCTCAGGTCAGTCCATCAGTAAAGAAAACTTAATCAAACTATGTGAACTCTCTTAAATACCACATTTTTGACAGACTCAATCACAAAGTGGTCTCAGGTGTTCCAAAAAGTGTAAGCATGCCTTAAAACGTTTAGGTCGAGTTTTAAACACACCTCAGTAGGTAAAAACATCAGTACGTCAGTAAATACGTCAAAGAACTGGTCTTCGTCACACATCAATACGCTTCAAAGAAATGAAAACACGTCAGACACGTCAAAGAACTGTTATCCCTCAAAAGTCAGTCCGTCAGTAAAGAAAAGTTAATCAAACTATGTGAACCATCATAAAATGCTACATTTTTGACAGACTCAATCACAAAGTGGCCTCAGGTGTTCCAGAAAATGTAAATATGCCTTAAAACGTTTAGGTCGAGTTTTAAACACACTCCAGTAGGTTAAGACTCAAAACCGTCAGTAAACACGTCAAAAAACTGGTCTTCGTCACACGTCAATATATACGTCAGACGCGTCAAAGAGATGAAAACACATCAGACGCGTCAAAGAACTGTTATTCCTCTCAAGTCATTCTGTCAGTAAAGAAAATTTAATCAAACTATGTGAACTCTCTTAAAATACCATGTTTTTGACAGACTCAATCGCAAAGTGGCCACAGTTGTTCTAGAAAGTTTAA